ACAAAATAACAATGTAGATTTGAAATGCACATATAATAATAGATGCATCTGACCTGAAACTTATTTTTTCCCAAGTATGAAATAGAGTTCATCCAGCTTTCTGAGCTTTGTCAAAAGAATAAATGTGTTTCTAATACTTTCATAGAAAATTGTCTACTAGTACATTATGGTTAATTTTTCCTATGATTTTTCTAGATGTCAGAGCCTACCTCTCTTCTTTCCAACTCTCCCTACCTGATAGCTATTAACTGTTGCATGTATATCCAAATGGTATCTATATTCCCTCATGTATTTTAAATAACTAGTTTAAATTGCAATGAAATTGTACCCTGTGGTTTGCATTCATTTTACTGAACCCTGCCACTGCAGTCTTAGTACTTATTCAATGCTTGCTAGTGGATTACTTATAGCTTCCCTATTCAAGTGATCATGTAAATCCTCCTTTCATTTTGAGAATTGTAGGCTTTGAATACAGAAAACATTTTCATAATACTTGCATTAACATAGTGTTATAGTTCTGACACTGTTTTCATTAAAACTTGCCATTTATGGGAATTTAGATTTGAATCGTTTTAAAATCTCACTAGGTGTTGAGGGAATTTGCCTGACAGATGGGGATGGGAGGCTTTTGCTTTATCGTCTAGTTTGTTTTCCTAAATTTTATTTATTTTGTTGTTGAGAATATACACAGCAAAACATACACCAATTCAATAGTTTCTACAATACCATTTAGTGTCATTGATTGTGTTCTTTGAGTTGTACATCTGTTCTCACCCTCCTTTCCTTAATTGTTCCTCCCTCATTAACATCAACTCACTGACTTCTAAGGCTCCTATCTAAGCTTTCAAGTTACTGTTGTCAATGTGATCCTCTTTAGATAGTTTGTAAAAGACCATAATGCTGAAGGCAGACCTTTTTTTAATTAGTTAAGCTAAACTATTGTTTGATTTTATGAAGACTTCAGGGGATATTTTTGGTTTAAGGTTTAAAGATGATCTCAGGGCAATTTGTTTAGTTTTAATACTGAAGGCTGTTTTTAGGTGCATCCCTTTTTTTTTCCCTTTCTGGGTTTTTCAAAATTAAAAGAAGATATTACTCCTATGAGGAGCTCTGGGGCTGCAGCGGGCAAAGCATTTGGCTGCCAACCAGAAGGTCAGTGGTTCAAACCCACCAGCTGCTCTGCAGGAGGAAGATGGGGCAATCTGCTTCCGTAAAGATTTACAGTCTTGGAAACCCTATGGGGGTTGCTATGCATTAGAATTGACTCCATGGCAGTGGGCTTGTTTTTTTGCTCCTATAACAAGTTATCTATAAATTTAATAGATTAGTTTTCTTGAAGTCACAACTATATTATGAGGGAAACTGGGTAAGAGAATATAGACTTGTATAAATCTATATTATATAATATAGTATAAATCTATTGCTATTAAATTAAAATAGTTGATAGGTTGCATGATTATGTGGGGATAGACCATAATATTATTTTATGTGGAAGTCAATTTTATTTTAATTTGAAATGTCACGTAGCACATTTTGGGTACAGACTTGCTGTGAACTTCTTTGTTTTTAATTATTTCCATTTTATCATGGAAGAAACACTTCCCTTTCATTGTCTTTGTGAGTTATTTCAGTTTTGTTCCTTTAGTGGCATTCTAGTAGTGTTTTGGGAAAAAGAGGAAACAAAAATTTGTGATCAATCAACCATGTTCAATGAAAGTTCTTTATTTCTTTAGAACTAATTTTAATTTAATAATCATTCCATCATGAAGTATCTGAAAAAATCTTATCTGATGGCAGGAAGAATATATATATATATATATATTTTTTTTTAAACTTGTTCTATGGATCTACCATGTTCATTATTAAGAAATTGGCAATACTTCAATGCCAAGAGACTCGTGTATTTAATAACTAAAAGGTTTAATAGTGGAGTGGTTAAAAGCATAGGGCTGGACCCATGCTTCTAAATATAAAAGAGTAGATGGTATTAGACTAACTGCCCCAAAGAACAACTCTAAAACCTGGAAGAAAAAACAATATTGTTTGAGGGACCCAGATCCCGGAGGCAGAGAAGACTTCTCACACTTTAAGAAGAGCCTGACTTTGAATGGTGCAACTGCTCTTTAAGGCACTTGCTTACTCCTAAACAGCACATATGCAGGAAGACACACTGAGATATTAAGCAGAAAGGAGCTGCTAAGAGCCTAAAAACCTAAGCAGAGATCTTGGGAGTGTCATGGGAACAGAGGGACAAAAATTGGGAGTTGAGGGCCAACCAAGAAGGAAATATCCCTAGCTTTCTGTTGAGATCCCAGAAAGGCTAAGCTGCCGGAGAAAGAACAGACAGGAAACAGACCAGCCTCAGCTGGACCGAGGTAATCTACCCATAATCTATTTGTTTGCCAGAAGGAAATGGAATCTTCTGCAGAGTGAAATATCTGCAGGGTCTCTTCAAAATTTCATTTACAGTATCCAGCATTCAATTAAAATGATCAAACCTGCCAAGAAATAACACCATAAATGACTGAAAATTAAGACAAAAAGCAGGCAGTCGAAACTAACCGTGAGGTTATCTAGATTGGCTTTTTGGACACAGACTTTAAAATTGCTATGTTTTATATGTTCAAGAAAATTAGATGGAAGTTTAGATGAGAATTTCATCAGAGAACTGGAATCTAGAGAACAGAACCAAATGGAAATAATAGAACTGAACAATATGATAATTGAAATTAAGAATTTAATAGATTTGTTTTGACAACAGGTTAGATATAGCAGAAGAAAAAAAAATAGTGAACTAGAAAATCAGTTGAAAATATCCCGATTAAAAACAGAGATACAAGTTTGGGAATTATAGACAAGTGTGAGAGGCATATGGGACTCACAGAAAAGTTCTCACATCTAATATAACTGGAGGCCCAGCAAGTGTAATATGAAGTCCCTGGGTGGTTCAAGTTGTTAAACACTTGACCACTAGCTGAAAGGTTGGCAGTTCAAACCCACCTATAGGTGTCCTGGAAGACAGGCCTGGCAGTCTGCTTCTGAAAGGTCACAACCTTGAAAACCCTGTAGAGCAGCAGTTCATAGCAAATGGGGTTGCTATGAAATTGACTCAGCAGAACGAAAAAGAACAATGTGTGTGTGTGTGTGTAATGTAATGTATGTATTTATATATCTATATCACCATGCCTAACAGGTGTTCAATAAATATTTACTAAATGAATGAGAAATAAACAGCAAAAAATCTCATCCTTGACTTTGAAATTTATAATATAATGGCAGAGCTAAGACCAATATAGACAGATCAGGAATGCTTATACATGGAGAAGAAAAGGTTGAGGTGGGGGCATAAGGGTGGAGTTGCCAGAGCCTAAAGTTAGGAACAGGAATGATAGAAGTTTATTTGATTTGTAGGGTGGGAACCAGAGAGTAAATCAGAGATGAGGGCAATTAGGAGAGGAGGATCCAGTTAGTGGTGGCTAGTATTGAAGGTGTTTTAACTTGATGCAAGAGGAATTGAGAGTCATAAATTCTGGAGATGAGAGTTATGACCTGTGAGGAGAAGCTGTCTTGACTATTTTTGGACTGCCACTGCAATCTTAGTAGGAGGGGCAAGATTATTTCACTCAGTCTTGGGGAGGGGTAAGATTATTTCATCTTGTCATAAGATAGTTAGGTTCTAAACCCCAGCTTTGACTATGGATATGCACAGCAAGGAGCAAAGCTGTCTGAAGGCAGAATTGACTTTTTAAATTTTTTGGTGGAAATGTCTTCCAGTTATGAATCACTGATGCTCTCTGCAGAAACATGTTGTGTTTGCTAAAGAGATAAAATAGCTTTTTTTCTCCTTAGTTTTTGTATTTTTTTCTAAAAAAATATTTTAAACAGGAAACTTTTAAGTATGAAAGCAGAAAACAGAATATAATGCCATCTGTTTTCATCATACATAGTAGGTGTTTAAACTTTTACAACAGTCCAATAGAAGAAATATGAATGCACAGACTGTATTAACCAATAATGTGTTTTGTCTCCTTCATTCCCACTTCGGCATATTTACATATAAGATTATTAATGTCAGGCACAGAAATTATAGGAAAAATAATTTGCTATTCTGTAAAGAACATTTTGCATAATATTGGAAACTAGTCACAATGTTCTGTTAATATTTGGTTTTCAAAATTAATAGACTCAGATAATAGTTATTAAAATCATGGACTCATTGCTAAGTAAATAACCCATTGCCATCAACTCGATTCTAACTCATAGCAGTGCTACAGGACAGAGTACAGCTATCTTATAGGGTTTTCCCAAGACTGTAAATCATTTTTTTTTAAATTGATATTTGAGTGAAAGTTTACAGAGCAAATTGGTTTTCCATTCAACAGTTCATACACATTTTGTTTGTGACACTGATTGCAATCCCCACAATGACAGCACTCTTCCTACTTCCTCCCTGTGCTTACCATTTCCCTTCCTCCTCCTTTCCTATCCTCTCCTGCCTTCTGAGCTTTATTGCTGGGCAGAAGTTCAGTCATGTGGTTGACTGAAGGCTGTAAATCTTTATGGAAGCAGACTGCCATATCTTTCTTCCATGGAACGGCTGCTGGGTTTGAACTGTCAACCTTTCAGTTATATTTAGCAGCTGAGTGCTTAACCACTGCACGACCAGGGCTCCTTAGCTAACTAAATACTCCTTAATAAATTCTGTAAGGGTAGTAGGAATGAATGTATTGCCTTACTAGTTTCCTTCTTTAGACGTTACATAGATTTTACCTGTTGCAATGGTTTTGAGATTGCATGTTTTGTATTTTTTACAAATATCTTCCTTGTGACAGTGGAATGATTCTAATTGCAGTTATGATAACAAGATTTGTTTATGGTCAGTCTCTTATTTATACCAAGACCAATATTTTATGTTACATATATATTAGCAGAGAAAGTGGTTTGTATTTGCAGTGAGTGCATCTGTATATGTGTTTATGATTTTGAAAATTATTTCCTAGGAAACATAACTTTTGAAACAATGATGGAAATACTCCAAGATAAACCAAGTGGTATTAATATGGAAGGAGAATTCCTGACCACTGCAAGCATGGTTTCTATTTTACCTCAAGATTCCAGTCTTCCTTGTATTCACTTCTTTACAGGGACCCCTGATCCTGCAAGGTAAAGCCACAAATACTATAAACCAGAAAAGGGTCAGGAAGAAGGGCTAGAACCCTAAGGATGTGTATGATTTAGCCGGGCTGACTTTTTGTCACTTAAATAGGATAATAATTTTTGGATGCATTTTCTGTTCAGGTTTTAGTCTGCCATTTTCATATGTACGTAACAGCCATAACTCCTCTCATTTTTTTATGGGATGAAATGTTAATAACTTCTTATATGTAGTTATCCTACATCTTCTTCTTCCAAATATATTTAACATTGTCAAGAAAAAAAATTAGGTAGTTTTTTTAAAATTCAAGTTCCAAATATTACAATGTTAGGTGATTAATATTAGTAAAAAGACTATCTTGACCATCTTGATTTAAGTGACTAGTCATTAGTATCACAAAACTTGATACATATTAATTACATTTAGCAATGATTTTACATTCACTATGTCTTAGTGTTACAATCTTTCATATTATTAAAGCTATTGTTATGAAAATGGAATGAAATTTCTGTCCCCCTGATTAATACAGCTGCTCATTTTCATCCCAAATCCTAATCCTTTATTTGACGTTGAGAATTACTCTTTTTAATTAATTAATTTATTTTTTATTTACTATCTAGCAGTGTCAGTTATAGATTGGATTATGTTCTCCAGAAATATGTGTTGTAAATCCTAACCTCCATGCCTGTGGTTTTATAACTCCATTTGGGAATAGGATGTCTTTGTTAATATTAATGAGGCAGGATTAACGTACGGTGTGTCTTTAGTCAATCTCTTACAAGATATAAAGGAAACAGATTAGGCAGCAGAAATGAGAGAAAATAGATGCCAAGCCACATGGATATCTCTGAGGAACAAAGAAACAGAAACTGGAGAGACAAGGACCTTCCTCCAGAGCTGACAGAGAGAAAGCCTTCCCTAGAGCCAGTGCCTTGAATTCAGACTGCTAGTCTCCTAAACTGTGGGAAAACAAATTTGTTTGTTAAGGCCATCCACTTGTGGTATTTCTGTTATAGTAGCACTTAGATAAACACCAAGACACCCTCCAGATGTGGAATTTGCATTAGGAACAGGTGGACTATTGTTTCACTGATCCTGTTAAGGTGCCAGGACATGGGAAATGAAACGTCACATCCTGCCCCAATGGAGATCCCAGTATACCAGAGAAGACAGGTGTGACAGGAATAAATCAGTATGTTGTATCATTAATAAAAACTTCTAACCAAAGAGAATCTTGGAAGACTTAAAATAACGCCTAGTATTTTATATATCCCAACATGCCAACTTAATATAAGTTTCTTTCTTCTAGATCTGTTTTTAAGCCTTTCATATTTGTGCCAAATATTTCACAACTATTGGACACCAGTTCACCAACATTTGAACTAGAAGATCCAGTTAAAAAGAAGTCACATTTTAAGGTTAGGCCTGACAGAAGACACCCACTCTACCAAAAACATCAACGGGCATTTGAAGTAATAGATAACGATAAGGTATGATTAGATTATATTCTCTGCTACATCATTAAGAATAGCTTAAAATATAATTCAATCCATATTTTAAACTTTGCGATTTCACCTTTCTTTCCTTCTTTTGTATAAAAATAAACTCACTAATTCACTGCTGTCGAGTCGGACCCAAACTCATAGCAACCCCTCTCCTTGGGTTTCCGAGGCAGTATCACTACAGAAGTAGATTGCCCAACCTTCCTTCCAAGGAGTGGCTGGTGGGTTTGAACCACTAGCCTTCTGGTTAGCAGTCATATGCCTTAGGCACTGCGCCAGTAGTTTAGATGTCAGACTACAGTAAACCAAACTTACTGCTATGGAGTCAATTCTGATACATAGCAACCCCCACGGAGTTTTCAAGGCTGTAAATCTTTACAGAAGCAAACTGCCCTCTCTTTCTCCTGTAGACTGGCTGGTAGGTTCAAACCACTGGCCTTTTGGATAGCAGCCAAATGCCTTAACCACTGCACCACCAGATGTCCTTCAGAGTATAAAACTCGCCATTGAGTGGATTCTGACTCATAGCAACCCCCATTGGGTTTCTGAGGCTGTAAATCTTCCTTCTATGGAGCAGCTGGTGGGTTTGAATTGCTGACCTTCTGGTTAGCAGTCAAATGCCTTATCCACTATGCCACCAGAGCTCCTTTCCAGACTATAGTAGAACTGTATTATTTCTTGACTTTGTTTAAGGGTAAATGTGTTATGAATCTTTTAGAAAAATTTAGCATATTAAACATAATAACAACAGTTAATGTTTATTGAGCATTTACTATACACCAAGAACCATAGTTGTTTTATATGGATTATTTTATTTACTCTTCACAACTACTTTATGATGATGGTATTATTATTATTATTAACATCTATTGATAATCTAAAACTAGGAGAATTTAAGTAGCTTGCTTTGTATATATTATATGCCAAAGAATGATTAAATGTTTGTTAATTGACATTTTTTATAAAGCAATATTGAAATAAAATTTTAAAACTTGTTACTATCTTAGTCTTTATTTAATAAGTATTAAATGTTGATTGACAATAAAAAGTGGTGAGAAAATAATGGGGTTTGAAGGAAGAAGTGTCGAAAGAGCTGGAGTCTTTTGGTTCTTTTGTCTTTGACACTATCTTGGGTCTTTGGAAGAGGCTTGATTCTTAATGAGACTGAAAATGCTCTCATGTTTGTTTATTGGTTATTTGTATTTCCTCTTAAATGACTTGCCTGTTCTTGTTCTTTGCCTGTTTTTCCATTGATCTTGGATTGTGGGTTTTTTCTTTGCCTCAAAGAGGCAGAGATATACACATATGAACCCTTTGTTATATTGAAAATTTTTTTTGTTTATTTTTGGCATTTAAGTTTTTAATAGTAGTTTCATCAGTTACCTTTGCTAGGGATTTCCCTTAAGTCGTCTTGAATTCATGCTTCAAAAGGTCTACCTTACTTCAAAATAAATATAACTTCTATATTCTAGTAGTTTTAAAAATTATATGTAGTTATATGTATATATAATATATGTAGTTTTTAAAAATTTAGTTCTTTAATACATGTAGAATTTGTTTTTATGTATGTTATGAAGTGATGATTCTAACTTTATTTTCTAAAGTGGTATTCAGTTGTCTAATGTCATTTATAGACAGAATCCATTTTTTCTCCACTGATATAAAATGCAGTATTTCCTCAGAAAAAAATTTCCTCATGAAATTACACATATTGAAATCCATGTTAAGGTTAAGAACCCTTGTCTATGAAGTTCTTCTCCATAAATGGTTCCAAATTTTAAAATTATGCATACTTTTTAGTAACTTTTTTCTTATATACTCTTTACTCTAGATGTTACACTCTGATTACACTAATTCATCTGTTGTTGTTGTTGTTGTGTGCCGTCGAGTCAAACCTGACTCATAGCGACCCATCCTTGGGTTTCCAAGGCAGTATCACTACGGAAGTAGGATTGCCCAACCTTCCTTCCGAGGAGTGGCTGGTGGGTTTGAACCGCCAGCCGTCTGGTTAGCAGGCAAGTGTCTTAGCCACTATGCTACCAGAGCTCCCTCCCACTAATTCATCTACTAATTCATCTACTATTTAAAAATTGCTCCATTCTGTAAGAGTCATGGACATTGTGTTCCCTCTCTTCTTAAAGTAGGGAGGAATTCATAGAGAAAATGTCTTGTCTTTTAGCTGTTCTTTCCCTTGAACATCACTGTTATATTTCCTTTGTTTAATCTGACAATACTGGTTTTAAATATAGAAGATGTAAATACATAAAAATTTCTCAGGCTCAATTTTCAACAACTTTCCTCCATATACAATTAATATCAGACTTGTAATTGTCCTGTTATTTGTCTTTTAGGTCTTGCTTATAGATGAATCCTACATAATCATTCTTGCCTTTTCTACTAAGAACAGGAATAAATGGTTTTAATATATTAACTCATTGTAGAGCAATCATTTTTCCCAAAAAATTTCATTCCTTTTATGTCTATAGAACAGGAGGAGGGGAACCAAACCAGAAGTAGAAACCAGAATAAATAAGCCTTGTCTGTAGAGGGGGGTTGGAAGTTGGTTAGACTTATGTATGTATATATGTGTATTTATTTTTTTTAATTCTTCAGGAAAAAGCCAAAACAATGTTGGATAACATGAGGAAACTGGAGAAAGGACTATTCACAGAGATGGAATCAATCATTCAAAACAAACATATTGATGTGGATAAAGTTGTTAATCTCTTTTCTCAGTGTGCAAAAGATGAAATTAGAATTTATGAATCATATATTAATTCTTAGTGATCATATAAATGGTCAACAGTCTTCCTCAAATTTAGATTCTTTTGCCTAGTTTGTACACCTAGTATGAGCAGACCTGATTATACTTTAGTAGCATCGAAATGGTATCTTGATATTAAAACTATGCATAGTCTTGCTGAAATACTGGGAAGGCATTGGAACTGGACACATAGGTCATGGGATAGTCATGTGTTACTTCAGATAATGGATTTGTATTATATTTTAGCCAAAATAACTATATTTTTTTCTAATAATATTCAATGTGTAAAGAAGAAGCATTAAAACAATATATAGATTTGTGTTTATTGTAATTACATAGTGCCCTCAAATAATTTTAATAGATAAAAGAACAGATTTTTGATGTAATGGAAAATATTCTCTCAGCTAGTGAGTTGTGCTTTAGGCAAGGATTAACCAGCTCTAACAAGAACACCTTCTGGATTTACCAAAACCCAAACCCATTGCCATAGAGTTGATTCTGACTCAGAGCGAACCTATAGTATATTAATTCTGTGATGCATTTTTCCTAACTCAAATATGCTTTTAGTCAAGAGTTGGCTGACTAGTGAGCTTTTAGCTCTACCTAGCATTCTGGGGGCCATCACCCTTATGGGCTTTTATGTTAATATTTTTTTCAGAAGAGCTTGTCTGGAAAGTTAGGGAATGGAATAAAAGAACCAAGACCTTAGGAGATACTATTTGTGTTTCAGATCTCTCTTTTATTTCTGTTCACTTGGTGAAGACAGGAACAGATTGTATAGGGTAATGGCAATGAAATAGAATTATTAGTGTATTATGAATATTATTATAAATGAACGTCTGTCCAAATTTTATCAAACTTTGTTAAAATTACACAGACTACCAAGAAAGACTTAAAATTGCAAATATAAACAGACCAAAAAAAAAAACCTTCAAAACTTTTTTTTTGTTTTTAGAAATGTAAATTTTTTATATTTAATTACATTATTGGTCATTATCATTGCAATTCAGATGATAATAAAGAAATGGGTCACTGTATTTAAATAGTGTCTAGGAAGTTATTTTTTAAATAACAATAAAAACCAAAAGCCTGATAATTGCTTGTGTAATACAGTGCTAGGAGCTCTGGTAGTGTTATGCCTAAGGCACTTGACTGCTAACCGGAAGGTTGGCAGTTCAAATCCTCCAGCCACCCCTCAGAAGGCAGGTTGGGCAATCTACTTCCGTAGTGATACCGCCTCAGAAACCCAAGGAGGGGTCGCTAAGAGTCGGGTACAACTCGACAGCACATAACAACAACAATGCAGTGCTACTTTTACAAAGGAAAAGATGTCTTACTCAGGTACTCAGTTGATTCTGTTTTTTTTTATGTATAGCTTAGTAATAGAGTCTCCCTAAAACATGAAGACCCTGCCTAACCCCATACTTCTCTTTCTCTTTTAACACATGAGGCAACTAAGGGTGAACAGTTGATTGATTTGTCCATACTTGAATCTTATTTTTCTCTCTAGTGCCAGCACGTTTTCAGCTTTTCTTTGCCACCTCCCTAGACCAAACTACCACCATCTCTCAATTGGACTACTGCTGTAACTATTCTCCTACTCTGATTTTTGTTCTTTATCCATCCATGTGTGTTACTGCGGCCAGAGTTATCTATTAAAAATTTAAGTCTTACCATGAACTCCCCTCCTAAGACTCTTAAAGACTCGCTGTCCTTAAGATAAAGCCCCAGTCTTGAACCACCACCAAGATCCTCCTGATTGGCCTGTGCCTACACCGTATTGCACTTAACCCACTGTTTTTTAAGTTTCAACTATGCTGCTCTTTCAAGCTGGTCCAGTTCCTACTTTCATAGCTGTTTCCTTTTTGCACCCTTCATTCTGCTCCTTCCCTTTTATGTTATTAGTTGCCTTCAAGTTGATTCCGACTCATAGCGACCTCATGTGTGCAGCGTAAAACTCTGTAGAATTTTCAAGGCTCTGACCTTTAGGAAGCAGATTACCAGGTCTTTCCCCTACAGAGCTGTTGGGTGGGTTTGAACCACTGATCTTTCAGTTAGCAGTGGAGTGCTTAACTGTAGCACCATTAGGGCTCCTCTATGAGAACAGGAGCCATATTTGTTTCCAGTGTTGTGGCCAGTATTTAATACTGCATGGCACATGATAGATACTAAATAAGTATTTATTTGTTAGTGACCATTCAAGTACCAACAGAAAGAATTTACATAGTCCTATTCTCTGCCTGTAGCATAGTGGCTAAGACACTTGACTGCTAACCAGAAGGCTGGTGGTTCAAACCCACCAGCCACTCCTCGGAAGGAAGGTTGGGCAATCCTACTTCCGTAGTGATACTGCCTCGGAAACCCAAGGAGGGGTCGCTATGAGTCAGGGCTGACTCGACGGCACATAACAACAACAACAACATTCTCTGCCTGTAGAAATCAGCTAGACAGTACAATTTGGTGCCCTTTGATAAATTTTAAGTCAACCCGTCACCTTTATTCATATTCAAAATGAGAATAACTCCCAAATAAAAGCAAGGATTATAAGGTTATGTAAATCAATTTGTTTGAAAGACTTTCACTCTATAAATCTAATGTGGTATTCAGGCCTTAGGTACTTGTGTGGGCAATTAATGCTTTGTATAGTTTAGAAAATTTAATGTTTTCTTAACTTTTAGCTGTTTTATGAGTGAAAAATATAGTAGTTGAAATTAAGCTTTATTTTTGTCAGCCTATAAATGATGTTACTACTTACCATAACTTAACGAACTAAGGTAACATAAACTGAATAGAGAAAGATAGTTTGCTTGATCTTTGGTGAAAATATCAGTATATATATAAACCTTTAACTAAAAATTTTACCCTAGAAATAATTATGCAGCCTAGAATTTTGGAAAGTTGGTTCCTTCTTGTAAAATTTGTCAAAAGCAGGTATACAGAGTGAATGTTTTCTCTTTCTGATTAATGACTTCAAGCTTTTACCATGCTAATTGCAGGGATTTATATTCCTGCCTTTTCCTGAAGAACTGGAATAGATTTATGATTCTGAACTGTTTCCAACCATTACTTGTAACATGACTGCTTATACCCCGTTGTTGTTATTGTTGTTATGTGCCGTCGAGTCGGACCCGACTCATAGCGACCCCTCCTTGGGTTGCCAAGGCAGTATCATTGCGGAAGTAGATTGCCCCATCTTCCTTCCAAGGAGTTGCTGGTGGGTTTGAACCACCAGCCCTCTGGTTAGCAGTCCGGTGCCTTAGGCACTATGCTACCAGAGCTCCCAGCTTATACCCAGTGGTATAAAGAAATTTAATATTTTACAGGTTATGAGATATAAGGGGCAAAAACCAACCAAGAGCTGTGTTCTGCTGCTTAGCAAACAAACAGTAGTTTAAATTGTTGTTGGCTTTTAGAAACTTACTGATCATCATTATTCTCAAAATGCCAAGTGTGCTACACCTTATTCTATAAATATTGAAGGCTGAACACAAGGTAATCATGGAATTATTTATTAAGAGCTAAGAAGAGTAATTATTGACCATAGTGAAGATGGATGTAAAAGGGATAATGTTCATCAAAATTATATTGCATCATTTTTCCAGCTGTGACCTTGCATATTAAAAATTGTGACATGTGAAAAGAACTCTAATGTCATATTGACTTTTCATAAAAAGTATTTACTGAATGCATAATTGGGTGAGGCAATGTGCATAGATCTCACAGGGTCACAGGAATAAAACAGTCTTAGTAAAGCTACTGAAGAAAATGTTGAGAAATAATAGACAAGATCTCTCTGATGGCTTCTACATTACTCCGAAAACTCACACAAAGTCAAAGACATTGGCAATACAAGTTAAAATAGCTATTTTATTTGCTGTGTCAGTGAGAAAGTATCAGGTACAAATATTTTCATTTAATAAAATGAACGTATCCTTAATTCTAAAAACATCTCTTAAAGGTCTTCATTGTCTGAAACTGCAGACCATTCTGATCTAGTATTTTTTATTTAGTGTCTCCCATGGAAAAAGATGTGGCAGATTTCTTCATGCAAATAACAGAACATATGTAATGTGACTTGTTCACAATAAAAACAAATTGTCCATCTGCATTTGAGTTGCCTGCATGCATGTGAATTAATCTATTATTTTAATTCTGAAACTCTCCTGGAACAACAGAGAACCATTCAGAGTCATAATGGGGTCATGTTTTTGTTGTTTTTTTCCTCACAGTTCCTCAGCAAGACAATTCTGCTTAAAAATATCCCTGTTCCCTAATCATTAATTTAAACTTTATAGGTTAATACTATACTACAGTATAAACTTGTTAAATATACTAGGCTTCCATGCAGGTTTCCTTTTTTAATTACGTATTTTTGCATTAAAAGGATAATGACACTAACCTTATAAATTCTTTTCTATTTGGATTTACATATGCAACACTAAAAAATATGAGATAAATTAAACAAATATTTGAAACATGTTTTAAATAAGTTAAAACTGGCACAGACAGGTAATAGTTAAGTAGAGATTCAAAGGTCATGGAGATGGGATCAAAATGAGGTAATTTAAGTTTTAAGTAGTTTAGTCTCTTTTCACTTCACTTAAGACTTCTCTGAGAGTAACATTTAGTAATTTTCCAATTTACAGATTTTTATACATAGGTACTTAAAAAAGACTAAATGTAACAGGATATTAAGCTCAGAATTTAAAAATCTTGGCTTGAATGATACATATATTAACTATAGAGAATAAGTACAGGGTTATCCTGCTGCTCTGTGATGCTTTGTGCAAATACTAGAAATGATACATCACATGGCTATAATTTTTTTTTTATAAACTTCAAACAAATCTACTCAAATTAAAAGTTAAAGATTGGACATATTTCTGTTGAAAGACTGGAGATAATATTTACGGAGGTTGTTATTCCCTTCATAATGGCATATATTAGAACTTTGGATATAAAAACAAGAAATGATGAACTTTTAAAAAAATAGTGCTTCCATTTTTCAAGTGTACCATTTGTCAAGGAAACAGGAAAAAT